TTGAAGCATAATAAATTGGCGAGCATTGCAAAGTTTTAGAATTTTTTAGTCAGTTTTAGGTCTTTGATTTGATATACTAGTATAGAAAAACACTCAACTGTGCATACTTCACTTCAAAATTAACCATCTTAGATCGAAAAAAGATTCATTTTCTGTAAAAAAAAAAAGGGTTCAAAATTTTGTTTTGCCTCGCTACGCTTGGCAACTTCTGCGTGCAGATCATTATACGTCTAGCTACGCCACTGTCATTTAAGAACCAAATGTAGCTTCTTTATATTTATACCAAAATTGAGTTCAAGGCAGTATTTTGTCGAAGAGAACAATTACACAAAGAGCAACATGCGAGAAGAGGTTTCATTTCCCTTATTTATTTTTTATTGAAGTGAGTAATCTTTTGAGATTACTTCACGGAAATATATTTTAAATGAAAAGGTGCAACTGGATACATCCCTAAAAAATCAAATTTAAATATATATATATTACCTGAAGATCAGTAAAAGCAGTGAAAATGCTAGTAAAAGTGATGAATTGAAACCGTTATTATCTTTTATTAATTTTTTTATATGTTACCAGCATACGGATTCTACTTAACTTTTCTTTATATATATATATATATATAATTTAAATTTGTTTGTTATATATATATAAAATGACGGATATTCGTCAATCGGACAGCAATCCAACATAAAAACGAGTAAGTTACCTGACATCAAGAATAAGAGGTTTAAGCATACCCCGCGCTGGTCAACTTTCTGAGTTGTGGGTAATATTCAATATACATGTAGGACTGTGAAACGGGAAATATACGAAAGATTTGTTTTTACATACGATGAAGCGTCAATCCCTCAATACATACGGGTCCACCGTGAAACTATTCTTATGATTATATAACGGTAAATGATGATCTCATTAGAGGAACAAATTAAGTAAAGATACATGTTGAAGCAAGAATAATTTCCACATGCAAAACATCAAATAGGACGATCTCTAAATTAGTACGCGATAACTTTAACTATTACATTCATAGACAATAACACTAGTAAATGCTTTATATACTGACATTGAAACAAATATACTGCTCATAATAATTGCACATCTGTAGACTTTAATCTAGGTATCCCGCGTTATATAAACCATTGAACAGCTCATCGCGCTTCGGCGCAGACCAGCGCACTTCAGAGTTCACGCGTGGCCATCAAACTTTATGATCTCCATTGCACCTCCGAGTCATACACACATATATATTCCGATTTTCTAATAATGGTTTTTATTATTTTAATTCCCGTAGGTATTGCCCAAAGAAATAGGGTTTATTTAAGGGTTTACACATCTTCATAGCTAAAATATTTTGATACTTATATCACGAACAGATATCTATGACAAACATTTCTTAAATTGTCAGTATATAAATTTAGATTATTTTTTTAAGAAACGTAGGTTTCAGCTACAGCAGACTAAATTGGCTTTTGATGGATTGAAGGCTTATGTAAAAATAAGAAAATGTGGTATAATTGCTAGTGAGTCAACTATTCAAGAAAGTTCAAATCAAGAGGAATGCTAGCAGTTATATCTATACTACCTTCAATAATGAAAAAATACGGGAACTGTAAAGTCGGTTATTAAAGGCCCCGCCCCGACATGAAAAAAATATGAAACAATTCAATTGAGCAAACTAACGGCCTTCTTTATTTCAAAGCTACATGTATCTTGCCACAAAAAAAAGCCCAAATACATGTATATAACAGAATTGATGTTACGAAAACCACTGAACTACGTGCTTTTGACTTTGGACAGACACATAAATACACAGAATGTTGTGAATGTGTATAGGCCCTTTATTGGTCATATAGCTCTACACTCCTATCTATTTTATACATTCTTTGGCTTTCAAATATTTAGCATTGAGCGTTCCTAGTGAAAGTAAATCCAGAAAAGCGTTATAGATGCATGAAATTTATAAAGTGTTGTTTTGTGAGGGGATCAAAACGTAGGGATCGATGTTAATGTCTGTTTTATATGTGCAATAATATCGGCCTTCTAACTTTAGTGAAACTCTGCAGATGTTCAGTGACGGATCCAGGGGGAGGGTTCAGGGGGTTGGTACCCCCCTTTTTTTGGACGATCAATGCATTTGAATGGGGACATATAGTTGGAACCCCCCCCCCTTTTTGCCCTGGGTTGGGAACCCCCCTTTTTAAAATGGCTGGATCCGCCCCTGTTGTTTCATGTATTTGATATGCAAATTATCACAAAACTAAAAGGATAAGATGGATGAATTAATAGTTGATCGTTTAACGTCCAGTGGCATATATTATAGATTCATTATTAGGGGGAGTACAATAATTATGATATAATGATGAACATTGGCAATCATACCACAACTTCTTTTTTATAAGAACGTACATGTGTAGATTTTCGTCTTTTACTGTAAACGACAGTGTCCCCGGGAGTCAAAGCCGAAATCAAACTTGTGTAAATTTCTGAAACATACATTTCATTATTTAACCCAATGTAAAGCAAAACAAATGATACCGTTTTGAGCTATAAAACCAAGGCAATCCTTTATACTAGTCAAAAGTTGCTGGATCGTGATAGATGCATACGAAACTTCAATTAATTGTTTGTATTTTTCAATCTTTTTTATCCGATAAAGATGAACACAAAATCTATCGGATAAAAACTACCTATTTTTCTATAAGATAAAATTTATCCTTATTGGAGTCAAATTTGTCATATGGATTCATAAAGAACAAAAAAATGTCCTCAGTAACGGAACAAAAAATACCCCCATGGTAAAATAATCCGTCATTCTTTAATACAAAGTACTATTGTGAATTATTTTTTCGGATATTAATCTTTTAGACATACATTAAAAACGGTGTCCTTGATATGCAACCATGAACACAATGAAAAGTGAATCTGTGAAAGTGTTCCATGTTTATTCCATTTAAATAAAGACTTGTTATGATAATACTGTACAATATATTTAACTATTTTATCAAAAAATTTAAATAAAAAAGAATATCTTAAACTCGTAAACACAATTTCAAGTTTAAAAAGTACCTTAATTTAAAATCCTACTTAAGGAATACGGGATATATTTGCGTGATCCTATACTTGTTTAATTAAAAAAATGCCTTCAAATACATATGTTTATTTGTATTCAATTTTCCACAAAACATATTTAGCTTATTTTAAATGAAAATAAAGAACAGAGAATAAAAACACTGTTGAAGAGAAAATACATATTCGTGTTAAATTCGCCTCAGTTTAATTTGTTAATTCAAGTTTGACATCTAAAATCTTAATCCGCAATCCACATTTACCCGACAATCTTGTATATTGTATTTTCTCAATGGAATAACCTTACCTGCACGTGGCCATCAGAAACGAAGACAAAAATTATATTTGTAATGGTATTTATCAAAACTTAAATGTTTGAATATTTAGTAGAATATGAATTTGCCAAATAAGCGAAGAATTATAATCTTGCATTGTTCAACATTGGAGAAATGACTCAAGTTAAACATTAATCATGTTAATACTGATTCAATATTTTATTATAGTCTCACCACATACAAACATAAAATGAGAATCACAGAAATAAACATAAAACATTAAAACATTTGCATTGTATGTACCAATCTTAAAAAGAATAATGAGAGACTTTTAAGACACAATATATTTACTCATTTACATTTAAAATTTACAGTGTCCACCTGTACTATATGAAAATAAAACATTTTTTCTTTGAGAACTAGGAAATAAAATGCCGTTTCTTTTCAATGAAATATTGTTGATGTTTTTGGCAACTATAGCAGCAACATTGCCGTTATTAAACAAAAATATAAATTTTTCGCTATCTGATAATTAAAGGTTAAAATGTTCATTAAAATGTTTAGCTTAATGTATCATAATTTGTCTTAAATCTACATATAATGCATGAATCTGTATGAACGTTATGTACGATGAAGTTAATTAAGTGTTCACAAGAAAGTAAGTATGAATGTAAATTTTATTTAAAGTCGGAACATATATATACACTTTAACCGTGAGATAAAATATAAGCTTTGATGAGCTCTATAACCGACTATCATATAAAAACCGCAATGAATGAACGTTACCCGATTAGAGATGAACGTTTGACAAATGCACGTTATCTGATGTACACAGTTATACACGATTGACGAACGCACGATACACGGTTAAGAATGAATGATTGATGAACGCACGATACACGCACGATACACGCACCATACACGATTAAGAATACACGATGCACGCACGTTACACGGAAAATACACGGAACGATGAATGATGAGCGCACGATTGGTACACGCACGATACACGCATGATACACGCACGCAACACGCACGATACACGCACGATACACGCACGCAACACGCACGATACACGATGAACGCACGGAATAATGGTCAGTTTGAATTTTAGAAGGTCTGTATGGGTAACTCTAGATTTTTCAACTCTTGCCACTCATAAATTCTTGATGGCACCAGAAGTTGGCATGAAATGAAGGAGATGTTGGGTATACTTTAAACTTAACTATGAAAGACCTGCCATCAAGACCAATTTCTTCAAATAACAAAAAAAAAAACAGAAATATATGAAAACAACCACTGACAAGCTAAGGTTCCTTACTTGGAACAGACTATATGATATACTATATTACTTATTTTCGCCTATACTTTATTTTGCATTTAGCCCTTTTAGAAGACATGTGGCAATTTTTATTTGTGATTTTGGGTTTTTATTTTTATGTATTCATATATTTAAGGCTAGATGATAGTTTTGCATATTTGCCAATATTTATTTTCACGTTGATTTTCAAAGTTGCGAAAAAATGAATTGTTCATGAAAGTACACAGTATAAACCAACATGGCCGAAAATGGCATTAAACAGAAACAAAACAATCAATCAATCAATGAATCCTGTTATTCATACTTTGAGAATTTTTTTGATCACCAATAATTTTTTTCAGGTTTGAATCCTCTAATTAACCAGAGCATACGACAACCAAATCAACAACCAAATCGACAGGATGATGTCATCATCAGGCAAATGGAGGCTGTCGCCATTGATGATTCTGCCATGCCTTTCTATAAGATGAACGCCAGACCCAGAGGTTGGTAGATTTATATCTAATTTAAAATTGAGAACGGAAATGGGGAATGTGTCAAAGAGACAACAACCCCACCATGAGCAGATAACAGCCAAAGACCACCAATGGGTCTTCAACACAGCGAAAAATCTTGTTTTAGTGGAACTTACATTTTGGTAGTGGATTCAAGTTTTTTTCCTTGATTTTTTTAATGGCTTAGTTTTGAATGGGGCAGATGGTATGTATAAAAAAGGCCATATGTATAATCATGCCTACATTTCTTCAATTTATAATACAAGGGTTAATGCCAGTATCTAGAGGATTGTGGACTTATATGATTCTTAAGTAGAACTTAACATTTTGATACTGTAAATTCAGAAATTATTGATAGGTATTCATTAAGGTGAATTGTGCAACTGATTAGTAATGCAAGAATAAAAACTTTCATTTCGAGTTCAAAACATATATAATGTATGCAGATTTTCTTGAAATCGCTATAATTTATCTAGTATCTTTGTCCAATTTTCAACAATTACAATAATAAATGTGCTCAATAATTTCTTCATTTACAATAGTTGAATGTTTTTTTTCAATGATTTTTAATGGCTCAATTTGACTGAATTGAATATGAATCCACAGTATTGTAATTTATTTTACATTGGCAATAATAGAATATCTAATTTTAGGTTTAGCAATAATAATAAACAACCAGCACTTCCATAAAATCAGAAATGATCAATCTAGCAAGGAGATGCCAGCAAGAGCTGGCACTGAAAAAGATGCAGGTAAATATAATCTTGTAGTTCTATTGGGGTACATCACACACAAGGGAGAAAACTCTTTGGGAGTCAACAGAATGTTAAAGGGAGACAAGTCTTTTGGAGTCAACAGAATGTTAAAGGAAGGAAACTCTTTGGGAGTAAACATCATGTGAAAGGGAGAACACTCTTTTGGAGTCAACAGAATGTAAAAGGGACAAAACTTTTTGGGAGGCAATAAAATGTTAAAGGGACAAAAGTCTTTGGGAGTCAACAGAATGTTAAAGGGACAAAACTCTTTGGGAGGCAATAAAATGTTAAAGGGACAAAACTCTTTGGGAGTCAACAGAATGTTAAAGGGAGAAAAGTCTTTTGGAGTCAAAGGAATATTAAAGGGAGAAAACTCTTTGGGAGTAAACAAAATATGAAAGGGAGAAAACTCTTTGGGAGTAAACAAAATATTAAAGGGAGAAAACTCTTGGATAGTCAATAGAATGTTTCGCAGCATCTGGAAATTAAAAGCATCTTATTAACCCACAAAAAGTTGTTTTATACTACCTTTATGTTGCTATTGCATTTTAGTTTCTTGTGGAATAAAGTGGTACCACTTTTGTATTTTTTTCACAAAAGACAGTTAGAAAGATAAAAAGAAAGGAATATCTTTCAAGCAAATATATCTGTACCCCTTTTTAGCTCACCTGGCCCGAAGGGCCAAGTGAGCTTTTCTCATCACTTGTCGTCCCTCGTCCATTGGCGTCGTCGTCGTTAGCTTTTTACAAAAATCTTCTCCTCTGAAACCACTGGGCCAAATTTAACCAAACTTGGCCACAATCATCATTTGGGTATCTAGTTTAATAAATGTGTCCGATGACCCTGCCAACCAACCAAGATGGCCGCCATGGCTAAAAATAGAACATAAGGGTAAAATGTAGATTTTGGCTTATATCTCTGAAACCAAAGCATTTAGAGTAAATCTGACATAGAGGGTAAAACTGATTATCAGGTCAAGATCTATCTGCCCTGAAATTTTCAGACAAATCTGACAACCTGTTGTTGGGTTGCTGCCCCTGAATTGGTAATTTTAAGGAAATTTTGCAGTTTTTGGTTATTATCTTGAATATTATTATAGATAGAGACAAACTGTAAACAGCAATAATGTTCAGCAAAGTAAGATCTACAAATAAGTCGTCATGACCAAAATTGTCAGTCGACCCCTTTAGGAGTTATTGCCCTTAATAGTCAATTTTTAACAATTTTTTGTAAATTTTTGTAATCTTTTACAAAAATCTTCTTCTCTGAAACTACGGAGACAAATTTAACCATACTTGGCCATAATCATTATTAGGGTATCTAGTTTTAAAAAATTTGTCAGATGACCCTGCCTTCCAACCGTCATGGCCTCTTGGTTATAGAACATAGGGGTAAAATGCAGTTTTTGGTTTATATCTCTGAAACTAAAGCATTTAGAGTATTTAAATCTGACAGGTGGCACAAATGTTCATTAGATTTAGATTTATCTGTCCTGAAATTTTCAGATGAATCCGACAACCCGTTGTTGGGTTGCTGCCCCTGAGTTAGTAATTTTACAAAAATTTTGCAGATTTTTGTTATTATCTTAGATATCATTATAATATCTAATATCTAATACTATTAGTTATGATTTTAACCTTATTTTACATGATTTCTAAAGCATCAGTAAATACAGGTGAGCGACACAGGCTCTTGAGAGCCTCTAGTTATATTTGTACTGCATTTGTTTACCTCAACTATTGTATTTGTATTTATATTGTATGTTTCTCTGTAAACTTGTATTTTGTTTTTAGAGAATAAAGTATCTATCTATCTATCTGTAATGGGTAAAGGCATGTCAATACATTTTTCACAGAAGTAGTTCATTGACAGTATTTGTAGTTTATGAAAACCTAAAAACTACCAAAAGACAAACAATATCATAAAGATTGAGTAACACAAACTCCATAAAAAAAATGGAGGTGATTACAGGTGCTCCTGAAGTGTTATGCTCCTCATGTGACACCCATTGTGTTACTCTTTTGTTGATTAGTTGTATCAAGTATTAATTGATTATATAATTGTTTTCTGTTTTTTAGAGAAACTTAATTACATATGGCAGAAGTTAGATTTTGAGGTACGTTTGTTCAATGACGTGGACTCGACAAAAATGAACCAGATCATGGTGGAAACAGCCTTCGAAGACCATTCAACATATGACTGCCTTGTGGTGTCAATATTGACACATGGAGTCCTTGGCCATGTTTATGGAGCTGATGGACGGATAGTTAGAATTAGTCAGTTAACCAGCTGTTTTTCTGGCAGAAGATGTCCGTCTTTGGCAGGAAAACCAAAGTTGTTTTTCATTCAAGCTTGTCAAGGAAGAGAAAAACAAGAAGGTATTGCATTAAAGTGTACATCTGTGTTTGAATTCTTGTAAAATTAAACCCCCTGTGAAACCTGTGGAGCTGTAATATCTATTCTAACATGCTCTTTTGTTTTTGAAAAGACTTTATAATACAAGGGATACCATGGGTCTTCTATCATGTCTTTTGATACGAATATGACACCTTATGTACTTGTATACACCATGCATATGGCTTCCAAAATGGTCATATTTTCCAGTTATGATCTGTGACATTTATTTTTTACCGGCTGGTACAAGGCTTAAGCAAACATTAAATGTAGATTTGCCGCATTTATATAATTTAGAGAAAAAAATCGAGGTTTGAGAAATCTTTTTTACGAGGATTGATTACTATAAAGACAAGCCCTAATTGAATACCCCCTCACCTAAATAGTCATTGTTACTATGAAGGTTAATTGGTTTATTGGCAGCTAAGATTTACCTGTTGGCCTGACTGGTAAACTATTAAGTACCAGACATAAAAGTATCTACTTGTACCAGACATCCATCAATCTATTTGAAATTGTTTTTCATGCATATTTAACTGGTTTCCATCTAATTATCAAAAATCATATGACATAAGAAACAAAAATTGGTTTGCATCTTAATAATTTTATCAATAAATAATTTATTTCATCAGAAATGTATTTAACCTGATTGAATAAGAAAATTAAAAGGTTAAAGAGCAAAAAATAATGTTGTCTACATAAGTACATTACTGAGTACATGCACATGTGTGAAATTTATTTGTGCATTTGGAAGCTTTCAGAATAATGAAAAACATAATTTTAGGTAATTTATACCAAGTATCTTAAGTTCATTTCAAGTATTTACTTGAAGACATTATGTGAAACGAATGACTTAAACTTGATCATGCTTTAAAAAAATACACAGATTTGAGTTTTTCCATCTCTGTTCCAACAACTGCTGTTAAGTCTGGTTGTTATTGGAATTCCTTATTTAAAATCAAAAATTTATTATTACAAACATTGTCATATTTTTATTAAAGGACATGCCATTGAAACAGATGCTGGAGGAAGTATGGAGGAAAGACAGGATTTAAATGTTGACAGACCAAGAGAATTAATTCCTGATGAGGCTGATTTCCTGTTAGGATATGCTACTGTTCCCGGCTATGTTTCCTACAGAAGTAGATCCCAGGGGAGCTGGTATATCAATAAGTTATCACAGAATCTGGATAAATATGCTTATCAGTAAGTAAAGGAACATGATTCAACTTCAATTTAATGGCTTTTGTTGTCTAAGCTCAACTGAATAAAATTGAGAATGGAAATGGGGAATGTGTCAAAGAGACAACAACCCGACCATAGAGCAGACAACAGCCGAAGGCTGCCAATGGGTCTTCAATGTAGCGAGAAACTCCCATACCCGGAGGCGTCCTTCAGCTGGCCCCTAAACAAATATGTATACTAGTTCAGTGATAATGGACTCCAAATTATACACAAGAAACTAAAATTAAAAATGAAAAATGAAAAATGAAAAATGAAGTATTGCCATCACATGGCAGTTGCAGTCTGTTGAAAACCAATCATGATCAACAGACCTGCCAACTATCCCGATTTATGAGGGATATTCCCCATGAGAGGAGTTGACCTAAATTTTGAAATTCTTTATTATATGATCTGAATACCTCAAAACAGTCATTCAAATGAGTAAAAAGAGTATTTAAGCACATACATACTCATTTATACAATATAGTAGTAGATTAAAAACATGACAATATAAGAGGAGCATAGAGATTTTGAAAAGTTGGCAGGTATGGATCAATAATTAATAAGTATAATGACTCCAAGCAATAAAGACATTTTGTTAAATATTTTCTTTAACTTTTTCACCATTTTCACATTTCCACGTCGATTGTGAAAAAATTGTTTTCCGCACTAGTGAAATATCTGTCCGCAAATGATTGGTCAAATCTAATTATGTCGTAAATTTTTCTTCATTTCTTCTGCATTTCCTATTGTGATGTCATGAGAAATGATGATCATGTCTGATGACATCACATAAAGAACACAACTTTCTGCAAATTTTTTGAAAAGGAAGGATAAAAATCATTAGAGAAACAGATTCCACCACTATAACTCTCAACAGTTAAATTTTAATTATTTAAAAAGCTCGGCTAGCCTCCCGCTTTTAATATTAAAATTTAACTGTTTCGATTGGAGAAATATCGTAACACACTTGTTGCAGTGGTGGAATCTATATTTATCTTGTAGGTTATTCAGAATAGCTTACATCATAATACATCCTTAACAATCCTTAGCAATTTGTAGCCAATGCCATCTTAATAAAATATGTAAGTGAGCACAAAGCATGACATAACAGCACTTTCCCCCAATTAGTAATAAGGAAAAAGACTGGGGAGTGCATAATACACTGTTGTTGCCTTTAAAATATTCATGTTTTGCCTATTTTCTTAAAAATTATAATAGATAGGTAAAAACTGTAAACAACTAAAATGATAAAAAAAAACCTAGAAAGATATTGATATAACCGACTAAACTAGTTTTTGGATGCTTTTTGTCCAATTTTCTTGTTTTTGACAGTTACATCATAAACTATTGTACATGATTTAGGCCGTTAGTTTTTCTCTTTACATTTGTCATTTTGGGGCCTTTTATAGCTGACTATGCGGTATGGGCTTTGCTCATTGTTTGAAGGCTGTACCTTGACCTATAGTTGTTAATTTCTATGTCATTTGCTCTGTTGTTGAGAGTTGTCTCATTGACAATCATACCACATCTAATTTTTATATACTGTGGATTCATTATTATTCGTTGGATACTATTTTCGTTGATTTCCTGGGTAAAGGCGAACCACGAATTTAAGGATGTTCGCTACTCTTTCAAAATATCAAGCTTTTTAAAAGACTGCTTTAAATTGAATGTATATAAATAACAGAACAAAAAAGCAGAAAAAAATGAAGTGTCCGTGTGCTTGTTTTTGAGATATAATCCATAGAAAATTTCGCGGGAAATGATTCCCTTTAGATTTTTCATACTATTAAAATTGGCACCTTTTTTCTTTCAAAAACTATGAAAAAATAACAATGATTTTACAAGATTTTCAAATATGGCTTTTTAAACTATATGTTATAAAATTATGAAAAGAAAAGTGGGGCTTAGTGGGCAAAATTTTTAATGGCACTACATGGATAAAACCAGAGGATTCCGAATATCTGACAAAAATTCAAATAAAAGAGCAGCAAACATCCTTAAGTTTTCAACGAAGTACAAATTTTCTATAGGTTTGTAAACAGACTTAGAATAAAGCATGAAATCAAGAATCCACGAAAATACAATTTTTCATCAGTCCACGAAAATTGGTATCCACGAAAATAAATTATTCCACAGTATACTAGATAGGTAGTAACTGTAACCAGTGAAAAGAATCATCAATACAAAATCTACAAAAATGCCAATAAATAAAATCTACAAATTAGGGCTATTCCATTAAAACGTATGTGGGTAGGAAGGAACTTTCAAAATATCCATACAACCAAGAACCATTTTTTAGATAATTTTGCATAATGGTAATAGACGCATACTGAAAAAAAAAACCATGACCCACATTCAATAATTAAAAACTTCCCTTCCTACCCTCCCACATACATTTTAATGGAATAGCCCTTAGCAAACATAACTGATTGCAATGAAGGTAAAATAGATATGTAATTAGCATATCTTCCCAGTTGAGGAATTTAGGCTCTAAGTAGCCTCTTGTTTTATGAAAGATAATATTTAACAGGTAATTTATTTTCTTTTGGACTTCTAGGTGACTATATCATTGATATATTTCCCACATATTCTTTTATTCATATACAGCTATAACTTATTAAGGTTCCTAATTCCTTATCTCATTTGTAGGCACGACTTACTGAGCATTTTAATTAAAGTGAATGAGGAGGTTGGAAGAGCTACAGCAAACATTGACAATGGAGCCTACAAACAGATTCCTGCACCTATGTTTACACTGAGGAAACGAATCATATTCAGATAAATTATATTGTGGAAAACACTAACAATGGAACTTACAAACACAGATTCCGGTACCTATGTTTGCACTGAGGAAACGAATTATATTCAGATAAATTATATTGTGGCAGATATTGTTTCAAGCTTTGTTAGTTTAAATATTGATTTAGGTAAACATTTTGTGAAGTCAGGTGCCTTGCATATGTATTATTATGTTGAAAAGTATTTCTTATAATGTTATGGAGTATTTATATAAATATTATTTCATGTGTATAGCATATGAATTTATACAATCAAACATAGGACTTATATTTAGTGCATTCGATATTATCCTTGATTGGATCAGGGTCAGGAAGTTCACAGCACTATGTTACCATTGGTACTTATTGTCCATAAGGATTTAATTGTAACCTGATAACTATACAGTCAAACTGTATAAAAAGGTGAACCTCTGGTACCAGAGAATACTGACTTTATAAGATGAGGTTTGAATTGCATAGGTATAAATACATATTGGGACAAGAAGAACTGTGACTGACAAAACAAGTTATCGCTTATTATACATGATGTATATAGCAGGTTTGACTAATATTTATACATTGTCATGTTTTCTGCCTATTAAAATCACAAAATGTCAACCGAAAGTGACACTATGAAGCTTTTTATGCAAGTGATCACAAGGATTGACTTATATTTTACAATATCTTAATGCTAAAAAAAACTTTTTTGCTAATGTAATACCAAACTTAAAGCATTTGGTCAAAATAGTAAGAAGTCACTCATATCTTGAAACAAACATTATTGTTGTGTCAAATCTCTGACTTCTTAGAGGTAAATAACAGCCATTCTTCAGATTCTGAAGAGTTGTTGTAAGAATCTGATTAACAAATAATTAATTTAACGAATTACTGTTGGTTAGATATTTTTGATTAGGACATTGCATTGCTAACCAATCACATGTCAAAGAATATACTTTTGAAATATTACCCAGAATGAAATAGTGAATTAGAGAGATTTCCCCCCTTTAAATGGTGGAGGGTAAATAACAGTTGTCTGCATTACATAATATATTGTATATAGCTATATATAGCATTAAAGTTTTTTTCTTTTATTAGAAAAACCGACATTTAAAGCTAAAATACAGAAGCTTTCGTTATTATTATTTTCATATTTTATGTGTGTCCATATGCATCTTAAAAGGTGTAACAATTGTATTTGAAGCTTTATCATTGCTGTAAGATTATGAATGGAAATTTAAAAAAAAAAGAAATTTGCATTCTATGTTTATAGTTTTTAATGTGCATGTTGATATTAAAAGTTGTCAGCATCACTAGCCTAGTAGCCTATGATTTTGAACTGGCTTTGTATTACCTTGATATTAACTGTTGAGAAACTTTCATTTGACTTACAAATAAGAAGTAAGTAACATTCAAATGGTATTATCCTCTAGATGCAAACATGAATATTTTTACTGTTTTTTTCGGCCTTCTTCTTGTTATTGTGGTTTAACTCCTCTCTAGATGTTGGTAAAGATCATTTCTGTAAAGAAACAAATTTTCAAAATGCACATAAAATGCATCAGGTTTGATAATTTTGCTGTTTTCAAAACATCTGCAAGTGTAAATTGAACTTTAATTTAACTTCCCCGAAATTTCGTTTTTTTATTCTCTTCAACTTCGTATTTGATGTGGCCTTTCAACTGTCTTGATTCGTCTTACTTAGACGAAACGTGTGTCTGATGCACCAAGTTATTAGCCTGGTTTCTTTGATGAGTTTTTATGCCCCACCTAGGGGCATTATGTCTTTTGGTATGTGCGTCCGTTCGTCCGTCCGTTCATTTGTTCGTCCGTCCGTCTGTCCCGCTTCAGGTTAAAGTTTTTGGTCAAGGTAGTTTTTGATGAAGTTGAAGTCCAATCAACTTGAAACTTAGTACATATGTTCCCTATGATATGATCTTTCTAATTTTAATGCCAAATTAGAGTTTTGACCCCAATTTCAGGGTCCACTGAACATAGAAAATGATAGTGCGAGTGGGGCATCCGTGTACTAAGGATACATATTTGTTATAATTCTGTTCTCCTGTTAAACAACGACTACTCAATCTTGTAAATTGCTGTCGACACTAGATATTCTATGTGTACTGCTTTATTACATACACACTTAAAACCAACATGATGGTCCAAATGTAGAGGATGTGATCAAAACTGCGGATGTATAAATATTAATTCTGATAGCAGCATCTCAAGTAAAAATTTGATAAGCCTCTTTTCGATGGTACTTAATGTGTATGATATTGAGGATGCTCCTTATATTGAATAAAAGATAATTGAATATACATATATAATACCAGAAAAAGAACAATATAAAAAAATATTTGGGTATGTTAACGTATGCAAAAGAGAGAAAGATATCAAAAGGACATTCAAACTCTTAAGTGTCGAAAATAAACTGACAACGCCATAGCAATAAATGATTAAGAATAAGAGACAAACAACAGTATACAAAACACAACATGCGGGCAACACGAACCCCACCAAAACGGGGTGATCTCAGGTGCACCGGAAGGGTAAGCAGATGTAAGTGAAAAATACATAATGAAATATAGATTAAATATTTTTTTTGTTTATTGCTTTTGGGGCTTATAACTTACAGAAGTGATGACGTGATCATTTCCCAAGGTTATTTATGAACATGATGTCATTTCCACACACTGCACACACAAAATAAAGATTGAGAAAAACAAACCTCAACCGAAAAGGAACTCGGTGCTCGAAAAAAAAACCCCGCAATATCTGCTCTCCATAAGTGAGAAAATTTGCAAATAAGGAGAATTAAGGATTACTAGCTTATCCCGTATAGGATACAAAAAATTGTGCAATCCAAAATAATTTCTTCCCCAAACCCTTCACCCTTTTCTTGTATTGCAAAAAAAAAATAGTGCATTATAAAACATTTATTATTGGAATCCAGGATAGTAATATAGACAGAAGAAAAGCGTTGAATGCACTGTCAACAGATGGAACAACTATATTTGTTTTGCTTCATTTTCTTACATGAAATCTCATTGTAAATCTAAATTGGAATCTAAGAAAAGAAAACCTTCGCAATTTTGCGAATTACAAAATAACAAAAATACTGAACTTCAAGGCAAATTCAAAAAGGGAAAGTCAAAATTTAGTGAAAAATTGATTATTTTCAATTATTTTATTTTGGTTTTATCACAAATTGAAAATCAACATGAGACTTACATGTATATATTTACACATATATTCATATGATAACAGTAAAAGTAACGAAGATTTTTCCCTATTTTTTGTTGAGTACAAGAGAAGAAATATGATATGACAATGGCAATAGAAAATGAGAAAGTTATAAATACTATTTGGGAGATTATATATGTCTGTCATTACGAAATTACACAATCTTATAGAAAACCTAAATCAAATGCAAAAGTAAATATTATATATATAAATTCTGTATTACAAAATATGTGCTGTTACCAGGAGGAAAGTAAGTACCAGTTGAAATAAGTGGAAACCTCATTTCAAGTATAAATAGAACAGAGTGAGTATTTTACAGGTCAATCATTAACTCGTTTTAGTATTTGTAGTTCATGCAATGGCTGCTTTTTGTGTGAGGTGATTAGACGGGTTAAGAAATTGGATAAGAAATATGGATTTTGAATATGTCATTATGCGGGGTAAATGAATAATTCTTTAGATTTTCAAAGCATATTTGAACACCTTACTATAATTATATGCTTCTTAATAAAAAGGCGAAAGATTAGTAGTTGGCAAATATCTCCGGAATAGTATTTCAGTATTTCTATCATGTCTCTGCATGTGTTTTGACATGAGAAATATCTGAATCAAACGTTTGCATGTAGCACCTCAGTTTTAATGTATGATTTTTTGAAAATGACAAATTTAAAGATAATGGAATTGATGCTCCCCCATGTTTCAATGCAAATAAAGACAAAAATCATTAACCTATAACTTATGTAAGTTTTTGTGTAAATGATTGTTGGTGGACTGTTGTTTAATTGTGGTCATTCAATTGGATGTTATTCTACGATTTTTGTTTACAACAAACTAAATGAAATGTAAAAATAAACATATGTCATATCCATCTATCTATAGATGCATTGTTGTGATTATCATGATTATGTTACTTTGTTTCCTTTTTTGACCACTGCTTCATTATTTGTGTTTTCCATAATATATCTTGATGTATCGTTTTATATTTTTTTATCAGAATTAAAATGTGAACACTTTTACTTTCTTTTCAAATTTCCTGGTAACAACTGTGTTTTAATAGAAATCATGCAGGTAAATGATAAATCTATAAATAAATGACTATGCATAAGGAACAATTTAAACATTTTTCAACATGAATAAAGTGAAACATCAAGACCGATAAAAAAGTAAACAAAATAGAGGAAATCCAATATCACTATAAATAGAATTAAATAAAAACATGTTTATAGTTTAACACGGTGGCCAGTTTTCAGGTTTGAAAACAGTAATTATTTTTTTATATATCATGTATATGTTATTATGCGAGGAAAATAAATAATCCTGTTAGCAATTCATTTATCCCCTGTTAACCTATTAATATGTAAAAAATGATAAGTGAAACATGAATATATAATGTAGTTATGCATGTTATGGACGCGTGAGTTACGGAATACAAAGTTATTTCCGCTGTACGAACGTCTGCATAGTTATTCGTACTGAATACAGCAGAAGGTCCGCAAGTTTATGTTGTTTAATTGTGGTCATTCAATTGGATGTTATTCTACGATTTTTGTTTACAACAAACTAAATGAAATGTAGAAATAAACATATGTCATATCTATCTATCTATAGATGCATTGTTGTGATTATCATGATTATGCAACTTTGTTTCCTTTTTTGACCACTGCTTCATTATTTGTGTTTTCCATAATATATCTTGATGTATCGTTTTATATTTTTTTATCAGAATTAAAATGTGAACACTTTTACTTTCTTTTCAAATTTCCTGGTAACAACTGTGTTTTAATAGAAATCAGGTAAATGATAAATCTATAAATAAATGACTATGCATAAGGAACAATTAACAATAGTTAAACACGGTGGCCAGTTTTCAGGTATGAAAACAGTAATTCTTTTTTATATATCATGTATATATGTTATTATGCGAGGAAAATAAATAATCCTGTTAGCATTTCATGTATCCCCTGTTAACCTATTAATATGTAAAAAATGATAAGTGAAACATGAATATATAATGTAGTTTTGCATGTTATGGACGCATGAGTTACGGATTACAAAGTTATTTCCGCTGTACGAACGTCTGCATAGTTATTCGTACTGAATACAACAGAAGGTCCGCAAGTTTATGTTGGAAAGATTTGCTAGATATCTGTATATTATTTATAAGAAGAATAGTTATGAGACTTAGACCTTTGCTAGAAGTAACACAAGCGACATGTCTAGTTATCATTGACTGAAAAATTCATGTTACAAATAATATACTTTTATATGAATAACTTTTAAAAGTAGAAAATATCAGTCAAATGACATATCATTAAAACGAGATGCACTTTTGCTGATAATATAAAGAGGAAAATTTTCTGTGCGATATAAAAAAAATAATTTAGGAGGTGTTGGGTATATGACAGTTAGACAGCAACAAAACTACATTAATGACCAATGGACATCAAAGACATGAAGAAACAGTCTTCTCAGATCTGTACCATGTGTCTTTTGGTTTTAAGGGATGTATAAATACCCTGCATGGCCACGTCTGGCGTTCCTCATGCGGATGGGACCAGAGTTACTGTTCGGACGCATGAAATTGTAAAGTGTCATTTTCATTTTGTACATGAGGTTGTTATTTGTACATGTATACCCTCGTATTTATATTTAGACCTATGTCATTGTTGAGGTTGTTATTTGTACATGTATACCCTCTTTTTTATATTTAGACCTATGTCGTTGTTGAGGTTGTTATATGTACATGTATACCCTCTTATTTATCTTTAGACCTATGTCATTGTTGAGGTTGTTATTTGTACATGTATACCCTCGTATTTATATTTAGACCTATGTCATTGTTGAGGTTGTTATTTGTACATGTATACCCTCGTATTTATATTTAGACCTATGTCATTGTTGAGGTTGTTATTTGTACATGTATACCCTCGTATTTATATTTAGACCTATGTCATTGTTGAGGATGTTATTTGTACATGTATACCCTCGTATTTATATTTAGACCTATGTCATTGTTGAGGTTGTTATTTGTACATGTATACCCTCGTATTTATATTTAGACCTATGTCATTGTTGAGGTTGTTATTTGTAAATGTATACCCTCGTATTTATATTTAGACCTATGTCATTGTTGAGGTTGTTATTTTTACATGTATACCCTCGTATTTATATTTAGACCTATGTCATTGTTGAGGTTGTTATTTGTACATGTATACCCTCGTATTTATATTTAGACCTATGTCATTGTTGAGGTTGTTATTTGTACATGTATACCCTCGTATTTATATTTAGACCTTTGTCATTGTTTAGGTTGTTATAAGTTATTGAATATATATGTTACAGTAAATTGGTGAAATAAGGAATTACACGTAATTACTAAACAATTCAGTAAACACCCGTAATTACTAATCAATTTAGTAGTTACATGTATTTACTGATTGTTTCAGTAATTACATGTATTTACTGAGTGTTTCAGTAATTACAGGTAATCACTGATCTTTTTTTGTCATTTATAAAGTGATTTACTAACTTGATATTTTTGTTTCAAAAATTTAGACATAATTCAAGAAAGCAAATAAGAAAGTAAAGGGTAGGCATTATTGGGCTTACTTTAGGGTTAAGGAATCAAAGGTTCTTTATTTAAAGTTTGTGTATTGAAATTGGAAAATGGTTATTTTGTAAATTTTGAAACTCACTGAAAATCATTTGCAACATGCAAGACAATGATATAAATCCATGCAACGACATTGATTAATTTACCAATTATCTCAACCAAGCATGCATATTGTCACCAATTAACCTTTAATTGATTGCCTATTTACACTATGCAAGACAATAATAAAAATCCATACAATGACAATGTTTAATTCGCAGGAAGTAGGATTAATTTTGGGGGTTATGGTCCTAACAGTTTCGGAATAAGGGGACAAAAAGGGGACCAAATAAGCATTTTTCTAGTTTTCAGACAACAAATTTTGGAACAGTGTATTGAACTCTCTGAAATTGTACAACAAGTTTCCATACCACAAAGGGATGGTTAGGATTGACTTTGGGGGTAATGGCTGAAACCGTTTAGGAATTAGGGGTAAAAAAAGGGGAAAAACAAGGGTTTCCTTGTTAATTGTCAATTTTTAAGTACAATGTTAAATTTGGATTACCTCCCTTACACTGCTATAAAATTATGTATAAAGAAATTTTGTATTGTCTTGAGGTGATTAGCTGTCAATTAATTTTGAGAAGTTACTAATAAAAATGCTGATTAAAGATATATTATTTTTAAACATGATTATGTATGTCATTTTCTATTTTAAGACTTTTATGATGTATTTAAATTGGTAATTATGGTTGCAAACACCATTGGAAATTTGAATTGAGATAATGACCATATCTTGAGGGAAAGATTTTTTTTGGGAAAAAGGGGAGGGGGAGGGGAGGTGAAAAAAATGGGGGGGGGGGGTACAAAAGAAATTTGGAGGGGTACAAAAGAAATTGGGGGGACAATTTGTTTTTCTCATTACAGATTTTTTTTTTTGGGGGGGGGGGGTCAATTTGGAACTGCATAGTGTATTGCACAAAAGCAAACAAAAAAAGGGGTAATCATATAACAAATTCTAAGTTCTTTGACTACAGGTATTCCGTGTCAGAAACCTATTATGTGTCAAACATTTAACTTCAATCCAAATTCAGACCTGTATCAAGCACGAATATTGTGTCCATTTTTGCCCGAACTGTTCAGGGCTGGACCTCTGCGGTCGTATCCAGCTGCGCTCGGCGAAGCAATTTATTTTCTATAGTGTCACCAATTAAAATGGAATGAGTTACACAAAACGTTAGACTTGACAAATTTGCATGTCTTTCGTACACAACCTACTTTGCATGCACACTTCACGAATCCCTGCCCTAACTGTAAGCGCGCTGCTTCCTTAACGATTTACTTTACCTGGGTATTTGCATCTTGCAATGCTAACGAATGGATTGCTGAGAAAGTGAATTAATTCTTAGAGAAAGATCCATATAAAATTCCATCATTTGAGCAGAGATGGAATTGGTCATTTGTGTGATCATGTACTTATTTGCATCATTAATCACAAAGATAAATGGGGAAGGGTGTGGATACGACATATTGTATGGTCCTGTCCCAAGTCTGGATTTAAAGACTCAAACGGGTCCAGGAAAGGGACATGGTAGGGGCTTAATGTCGGCAAAGCAAAGGATGCATGCACCCATTAAACTCCTGCCCCCCTTACGCAACCTTTAAACAGGACTATTGAATAGCTTGGATAGGTTGAATTTTGTGAAATATAACAGAAATATCATGAAAACCATTACTAAAAGATTGTAATCCTTTTTTTGTCTTTTTTCTTGTTTAATTTTAAAACAAAATTTTCAATCTGCTGATTATAGTGTTCATCTTCTCCTTTCACATTAAGACTATCACATG